GATTATTTACGGTCAGAGTTTTCAGTTCAATCGAAATTACTTGTGAGAGAAGTTGCGCAATTGTCCACCAGTCTTTAGCAGATGCGCGATTCCTTTCGCAATAAATCATCGAAATTCACCGTTTTTAATGANATTCGCCGCACATTCATTTCGATGAACGCTTCAAATCAAGAAAATCACCATGAAGGTCGAACAAATGAAATTGAACAGTCCCGTTTCATGGGAATATTGATAACGGCAACAAACTCAAACGATATGACGATAAACAACTTGATGTTTTAAGACGTTTCTAAGGCTGTTAATCAGTTGAATGCTGCCAGCAGTCCGAAGGTAGCCGCATTTCAAGTGTATCTTGGATTGAATGGCTCACAAGAGGATCTCAAGCTTCCGTCGAATAATTATTTCTTGTACAAAAGCAACGAAGCCACGGCTGCAGATGATTATTTGCGGTCAGAGTTTTCGTTCACTCAAAATTACTTGTCAGAGAATTTGCGCAATTGTCCACCAGTCTTTAGCAGATGCGCGATTCGTTTCGCAATAAATCATCGAAATTCACCGTTTTTAATGAAATATCGTTTGATTGAATCTTACAATTGGTAAGGTTTCGCATAAAAACAATTTCTGGACGTAGTGAAGTGTGATGCATTGATCATGAGTGGTTAAACGGGTTCGATGGCAGAAATTTTTCGAATGTTTTTGCGTTTATTGCAGTTTGTCCGCTGATGAAGCTGTCAAGTACGGATGTCCTCCGTTTATTTATGTCACATTCCCATCTGCAAAAGATCCAAAATGGGACGATAGACATCCAGGTGAATCCAACTGCATAATTCAGATTAATTCGTAGTGTTCAAATTTCAAATTTAGGCAGTTTTGAGTGAAATATTACTGCCCTCATTTTCTTTGCGATCATCCTGCGATCTATCTACATTCGTTTCATTTAATGATAAAATTAGAAAATCGGTTAAGGCGTATCAACATGTCAGCTAATAACAATTACGAACCCGGAGTGGTTCGAACAATTCCGAGATAAGTCAACGAAGAAATCACAGAAACGACTCAACAAGGACGATTATCTGCAACTGAAAAACGCTTTTGCTGAGATTATGATCGAGCGCCTCAGCGAACTATTTCCACAGTATGCAAAGGAGGTAATTTGTAAATCGTTTCTAGTAATGTGCTCGCTTTTAATGACCATATTTTCAGTATAATTAAAATACTTATGTCCCTAATTAGCGCTACTCTAATTGCGAAGTGTTTCATGCTGATGTCAACTACAAATGCTCGTAGTTTGATAGATGGTAATAATATACTCTGATTTGTTTTACCGTACGCTAACGTATATTTACTTTGCAGATAATTTTTAGCGAAAGCTCAACATCTATTTCACAACAATATTATATGCAAAATGATTATGGAGAACTCTATGCGTTGCCACACACAGTCGACAGATTCAAATCAGACATATGGACGGAACTGAGACACGAATGCGATATCCCAGGGCTTATACTCTCTGGTACGTGCTTAGGTTGAAGGGGTTTCTTGATCGCTGTGGTGATTNGATTAGTCGCGTATTTCATAGAAATGAGAGACAACCATCAAAAGTGAGAAGATTCCTTGAATCCTGGACGGAAGTTGAATTCCATCAGTTAAAACGTAATTCAATGAATCTGCTCTCCCATCAAACACTAACTTAAAAACTTACAATTCAAATGATACATTATCAAATCTCAACAACAGCAGTAAACAGGGAACAAATGAAATAAGATGGAACAAATTAAGTAACGAAACGTTGAATTCTAGGTCAGGATGTGATGTTTTGTGGTGTGACCAGTGCACTACACAACGGCTTGTTAACGGCTCAAGCAATTCTCAAGGGAGACCTTCTCAAAGATCTGGATAAAGCTATTCGGCTACAAACCGAAAATGTCAACAAATCCGAATAATATCACGTATCGAATAATATCACATACCTAACAATAATAATACCTCTATTCTCTTCTATGTTATGAAATCGCTTGCTACCATTTGTATTCTGCTTGATTTAAAACTAATCATGAGCATGTTGAATCACTTATTCTACGTATCCCTGATTAAATATCCGCTGTTATTATATTGTCAATTGAATAAAAATTCCAAAAATTACACTTGTTTGTCTGTCAACTCAAAGAGCAACTGCATCGATTAGAGCATGGGTCCCTATAGGAAGAGAGGGAAAGTCACCCATTTCTGGGTAATTTGGGGTGTCAGAGGGTAATGAAGGAGTGGGCAAATTAGTTCTGACGTTATGCGTGGAACCAGTAAATTATTGCAGCTGGGTAGGGGGAGGTGTGAAGGTCAGCCAGACTATCAAAGTATTATGGAGCACCCGAGTGTGGGCACCACTGCATTGGAGGTATGCAATAAGAATTGTTAGAAACAAATTTACTGAATGCTCCAGCTCATGCACCTTGAGAGGTGATACGAACTGGTGCGATGAACGCTGCATCATGATTTTAGCTAAAAATCTGGAATTCATGTGAAAATATTTGCAAATTCTTGATAATTTTATTCTTTTTAACAATGCTGAACAACTTGAAACCACTGCGATTCAAATGGCTGTTAGAATGTTGTTGTAATGTCAGTTATTGAAAAGATCGTCGAATTCATTGCCCATCAACGAATGACCATGTTCTCCACTTTTTTGCTCGTGATCTATCACAATGATCCATGCATTCTGGAAATATTATAGATTTCATAAGAATACTTCTGATTTCTTCAATTTTGTGCTGCTTTCTAGCGGCTTCTTCCTTTCAGACCGTCAGCTGCTAGGAAACGAATTTCGTTGAAATCGTTCGTCCACAGGTTCGAACGGCTTATCTTAGTGCATCGTGCACAGCTTAAAAAATCACGATGATTTCATGAAATTGTTTCCTGATTTTGAGGAGCAATATCGATATTTGCATAAATTTTGCGTCATTTTCCTCTCATGATCATTACTCTTATACCTGTGAACATCATTTTCTGGTTTTGTTAACCGGAACCCAAAATTTAAGCGATCAACGAGTGGTGAATTTCATTATAATGGTTGATGATGCATCGTTAATTTCATAATCTTTTCAGTTCTATCTCAAGCGGATTCTTCACTGGTGGATTTTTGGATCACGGGAACGACACGCCGATAGTGACTGTAGGTGAAAACTGCTGAAGTGTTGTCATTCTTTATTATTTTATGGAATCCATATTGTTCGAAAAGGTATGTGCCCACTGAACATAAATTTTTAATTCATGCTTTATTATGTTCATTCAGTATTACTCATAAGATTTGCTTGCTTATTATGAATGTATCATTCTGATTTTTATTCAAAGATTTGTGCATCACATCGTTGAATTAGTGATAGGCGTATATTTTCCGTCAAATCCAAAGAAATCATTCCTCCATTTAGCCGATATTGCGGCATGCTTTCGGTATTTGAGAGTCCGAAAGTGTCTGTTGAATCATCAGTAAAAGGCAACGTAATTCATCATTCTAGTATTGGAATTAGCTGTATGTGAGTAATGAATGCCACTGAAATCACAACGAAGTAACCGTATTTGTCAATGTAAAAATTTCAGCAAGAGGCTTCGTTATGTGCACAACATGCACTGAATATGCTACTGCAAGGCTCCTACTTTAGCGCAGTGGATCTGGCCGAAATTGCCCGTGAACTGGATGCTAGAGAGAGTGTTGTCATGGGCGCAGACTCGAGTCGAAGTTATAATATGGACGATTCGGGGTTCTTCTCAATACAGGTAGATTTAATCTAACGTCGTTTTTTCACTTCAATTACACTAGCTACCGTGATGGCACAACTGCTCTCGCATACTTTCAATCTATTGAAATTTTTGGTCGAATAAGTGTGTTGAGAATCTTAATTCTACAAATTAAGATTCTCAACAACAACAAAAAAGAGAATCTTAATTCTTCATTGAAGGATTATGCCAGGTTCGGCTGAAGTAGTTATCCATACTTATATATGTCGTGCTGAGGTACAACTTCTTAAAATCACAGCGTTCTGATTGAAATATTCAAATCTTTCATCATGATGAGTCCTTGTGGTTATTTAGGTTGTGCATATGCTTTTTGTTATCAAGTATATTCTTTTCAGGTTATCGCTGAAGCATTGAAAGTTTTTAATTTAGAACTTGTACCGCTCACTAGTCCGAATGCTGCTCAATATCGTGAAAATCCTATGTGAGTCTATTTTCCTGCTGAATTTTAGTAATCGTTCAAATACTATGTCCAGTTGTGCATTAATTTATGATGTGAAATCAAATTATTTCCATCCCATTGAGAATCCAAAGTATACTGTGTGGATAGCAGCAATAATATTGTGGTCAATCATACTTCAATTGATGAGTTTACAAATGTTGAACTGGTTTGTATCATATAGTATGATTACCTGATTAATGTTACCTGGATTACCTGGATTGGCCAGGCCATCAAACGCTTGTAACGTTGCTGGCCACAGTGCACACGTTTCCGTGCACATTATTTTAGCCTCAATTTACACCACCCCCCTGGCTAGGCGAGCAGGCCAACCGAACACAACCGAGTAATTAACTAGTTGCCATGAATATTTTGCGTAATTAGTCGTAGCCAAATATCAATCCAATAGATAATCATANCAAGTAACAGTATTACCTGATTAATGGGATCATGATTATTGCAAGCTTTCATCGTTGAAACATCGCAGTTGAGTTTTGCTCATTACAGATTAGGCCGTGCTTATATATGCAATTTGAATGAACATTGGTTTGCGGTTCGTCGTTTCGGATTCCAATGGTTTACGCTCAATTCACTTCTGTCAACGCCGCGACTCATTTCAGATACTTATTTGAGTCTGTTCTTTGCTCAATTGGCTAATGATGGTTAGCAACATTGATTCTCTTTATGTTACTAAAATATGTATAGAACGTAACGTTTGAACTGGAAACAACGCATGAGTTTTGCCTGCCATTTCAATAGTGCTGTTATCAAAATACTGGAACAATTCGAGAATTTCAAAAAGATAGGATAATTGAAGTGTTTCAAATGCGAGATGATGGTTCAGGCTATTCGATATTCCTTGTGGATGGAGAGCTGCCAGCGTGTACGGCCGACGAGGTGCTTTTGAAATGTCCCGTGGATCCGTCGTTAGCGAGTCGCAGTGAACCGATTCGTGAAGATCAACAACAAGATCCGGATCTAGCAAGAGCAATTGCTTTATCTTTATCGAAGGTGTTTTATCACTTCTTTACGATGATCGATCATATGCTTGATGAATTGTAACTTTGCGTTAAGCACGCGTTATTCCTGAAATTTCGATTGTATTCTCGAATTCATGTTTGCGTTCTTTTATTTTTATTTGCATGGCAAAGTAATTGTTTGAAGGAAGGTGAAGGTGGTGCTGAGCACAGTGCAAGTGTAGCACAAGAAGACGACGAATTGCGTAAAGCGTTGGAAACGAGTCGACGATTGATCGATGACGATGACCACTCTTTACAGGTTGATCAGAATTTTTTTAGTTAACTCT